CCGCGGGGGCCCGAAGCCTCCAGCCCAGCCCCGCTGCCGAGGTCGGAGTCCGAGCCTAGGGCTCCGGGCCCTCACAGCCCCGCCCTCGGCGCCTAACCTCCTGCAGCGACTCCGGCACCAGCGCGGGCACGATGGGCCGCTTCACGCCGCGCTGCTCCTTCTCCTTCTCCCCGCCCTTCTCCTTCCCGTTCTCCGCGTCCCCCTTCTCCGCCTGGGTCATGGCGGCAGCGACCCCCGCGAGCGTCCAGCCCCGCGAACCCCTAGCCTCGGCGCGCGGCGCACCCGCCGGAACCGCCAGACGGCCGCGCAGGCGCAGTCTCCCGGCCGGTTGCCCACAGTCAAGATGGCCGCCGGGGAGTCGCCCCAGAGAACCCCGGGAAACGGAAGGGCGGAGCTGTCCGCTGGGGGCCGGGCTTGGGAGGCGGCGGGTGTGTGGGTTAAATGGATGGTGCTGTGATTGTTCCCAGCCGTAGCCAGCCCGCAATGTCCGGCACTTTGCTTTTGCAGTGAGCGCTTACCCCAGACCCGTCACTAACCGACACCTCATTTGGGCTCCCACCAGACACCGTACACACGTCATTTCTCGTGTTTCCCTGGCCCTACTCAGGGCCGCGCCTGAGCTAGGCTTCCGGAGGAGGTGCGCTCTCTCCACGCTTCTTGGACGGCTTTATCCAGTTTCAAGGCTTTAAATATGAAGATAACTCCCAGATATGTATTTCTAGTGTGGACTCTCCCTGAAATCCAGATTGATATATCTGGTATTGCCCCTTGGATGTCCACAAGGCGCGGCAAACTTAAGTATGTCCAAAATGGAACTCTTCATGAACCCCCAAACTGCCCAAAAAACCTACTCCCACTTTTACCATCTCAGTAAATGGCACTTTGATACCATCCCCATTTCCTGGCAAATAGGGTTGAATAAATACTTACAAATGGATATAAAAATGCTTTTATCGCAACACTTTGATTTAAAAACCTGTTAAACACTGCAAGTACAATTACCTATATTATTCATTCTTCCACATGTTGTCACTGTTTAAAGTACTGGGATAAAGACAGAATCTCTAACCTCATAGAGCTTCCATTCTGGTAAAAGAATGCGAGTTACCAGCATTCAGATGGGGGTTAAAGACAAAACAACTGTTTAGAATTCAAATTTGTCAAGATGCATGAAGTCCATATATTCAAGGCCCACCTAGCAAATCTTCATTTTGTAGCTCATTTTAATGGTCATGGCTTTATAAATACCCTGATAAATTATATATGGCAGCATATCAAACACCTTGTATTAAAGACTCATGGGACAAATATGTTTCAAAATAAAAATTCAAAAACACATATTATATGCACACTACTGAAATAAATATAATGTGATTTATTTATAAATGAGAACAAATTAACAATGAACACTTTCAGAAGTTGAAAAGGGTGACACTAACAGTACTAAATACATAGCCTTTTAATTTTCTTCAAATTCGGCGTTTTAATTATATAAACACGAGCAGTCAGCTTTGTAACCTAAAAATATTTACTTATTAAAACTATATTAATACTTTCATAAACTATACAAAAAGATGAGACAAAACATGTGCATTTATAGAATTGCATGTCAGTCATGCCAGATCCCTGCGAGGGAATTCCCAACACGACCTCATTCGTCTGTGAGGACACAGAGTAATTCTTGTTGAGACGTACACATTCATCTACTTGTCCAGCATGGTCAGCCCTCCACTGCTTAATGGTTTCCTTCTGCTATGAATGTGCATGTCCAGTTGTCTGCTTCTTTGAGCAGACATTTACCTAAATGAAAACATTACAGTAATTAGTTGCTAGTTATTAATTCGGATGTAGATGAAAAATCCAACAATCATTGCATGTTAGAAACCTGTTTCAAAAGACATTTTGATAATAAAGCCAATGGATTTTTCAAGGATTAGGATAGAAATATTCTTCCAAATAATGTCTGAGTAATTACAAAATGTTGGGCAACTTCTGTTTTCCTAAAGACCTTCCCAAGTAGGCATTTACAAAATAAAATCCCTGCAGAATAATTTCAAATTTAAGTTACCTTCCTCATCCACCAGCCATTGGAGGAGGGCTGGGACCACGAAGATGATTAATTCGACCCATTCTTCTGGGGGGGTTTCCTGGGGGCCTAATAAAAGAAAAAGTTAATTTCTACTGTTCAGTACACAACTTCAATTGGTTCCTTTTAAACGCTCAAATAGACCCTTTTCTTTAAAATACCATTTAGGTAAAAAATTCAAACTTTTACAGGGGTCAGGTACATAAAGCACAAGAGGAAAGTGAGTCAGGCAAGGATTGTCATGAACTAACTGAAGACCACCTTCTGTAAATACTCAACTAAAACCCAGCTCCAGCTGATTTCTGCCACATGAAAACACAAGTCTACCCCACTACTGCTTGATCTTCTGAGTTTTTCATTAGCAGCTGGAAATCTAGATTCTAAAATGAAGTCTCTCGATTTCGATGTTGGCTCTGTTTTCATCTTCCAATTACGTATTTCCTATAGGATATATGTACATTTTAGCTTTGCCAGGTTGACTGCTTATCAAATCAGAGGCAACTTCACTTGATTTATAGCAATAAATTAATTTTGTGACACAGAATTTAAACCTTTAACTTCCATAAGCCAGCCTATCTAATCCAATTAAAATATACAGAAGGGTAAAAACGTCTATTATCAACTTAAAAAGCTATACCCTCTTCCATCATCATATCTGGAATCAGATGAGCTTCCGTAGCCTCTTCCTTTTTTCACATCTTGCTGAAGTAGAGTTTTGAAACTGAAACAAGGGGCAGAAAACAACAGAAGAACCACTTTCAACATTATAAAATGTATTTCTTGGTTTCAGCTATCATCTCTGTGAGAGGGCAGCTGAAACGACTTAGTTTCAAACCCACATTTCTTAAAACCATTGTGACACCACCATCTAACACAAGCACGTGTCTAAACAGTGTGCGCTATGTTCTGTGCCAAACCCATCCCTCCTGATCTTTCGTATTTGCTGATAACTCTCCTAGACTGCATCCCAACTTCCTCTACATCAGCTGTCAGGTCTGAGTCTGTTTTTACAGTACTGCACAATCATTGCTCTTGCATTTCCCTTACCAACAGCCTACCTAACATTATGCTGAAGAGGGTGGTGGGTCAGAGGCACAGACGTTCTGGGAATCCATTTAAATAAAATTTTATTTGTGCAGGAGGAAGAATTTAAGTTAAAATAGTATTTTTAATAAACAATACAGGGTAGGTAAAATTTGTAAAACTGTAAAGAAGTTTTGCACTGGGTAATTTAATTCTGAGCCTCTATTGTCTCCTGTTGTATTTTCCTATGGAGCTGTCTCTTCCATTTTACCCTTTCTAATTTATGCTACATGCAGCTATTAGATTAACCTTTCTAAACCACAGACATAATCAAATGAACATAAAGATCACAGACTGATATTCAAACTTCTCTGCTACCTTTCCTGTTCCTTACACCTGAAATAACTTCCTCTGATGTCCACCTCCCACACTCATGCCCACCCACTGTCCCTTACAATATAAAGATATTTACTGATATTAAAGTCAATGAAAGGATTATCTCCCACATCTCTGTATCCCTACAATTCTCTATCCACAAAGACATTCAAATATATATTCAAACTTAGGATAAATAAGACTTGTTAGTAGTTAATGAACAATTTTCATAAACTATATAGCAGGTGAAAGAACAAAAAATGCATTTAACTAAGAATTTCTTGAAATTATGGTGAAGTTTAAATTTGCCTCCTCTGTATTGATTCTAACCCTTCATTAAAAAAAAAAACAACTTTTTACAATAGTGAATAAAATTTGCACATACACAGTAAAGCTGGGAATAGTAAACAGAAAGTGAGGCACTGTCATCTGGCATTGAAATGGGCAGACCTGGCTCCATAGCTGCAGGCTGAGATGATTATTACCAAGACTATGGTCAAGCTTGCCAACTCAACTATCATATTCATAATCGTAAGATGTCCGGTGGCAGTTTTACCACTATAGAAGTCTTCATTTCCCTTAGCAAAGCTATTAATTAGAAAAAAATTAAAATGAAAAACTGCTTCAGGAAAGCTGAGCTTGTTTAAGATATGCAACATAATGTACCCAATGTACTTCTGGCAACCTAGGTATCAGGGCTATTAAGAGCACTACTATACTGCCATAGCGGGTTTGGCTCAATGGTTACAATGTCTGACTGAAGGGTTCCGGGTTCGATTCCAGCCAAGGGCAGGTACCGAAGTTGCAGGCTCAATCCCCCGCCCTGGTGCTTGGGGCACGTGTGGAAGGGAACCAATCACTGTCGCTCTCTCACATCGATTTCCCACATTGATGTTTCTCTCTCTCTCTCTCTGTCTCTCCTTCCCCTCTCTCTGAAAAGCAATGGAAATACCCGAGCAATGGAAAATACCCTCGGGTAAGGATAAAAAATAATAAATAAAATAAAAAAAGAACACTACTATTATACTTACAACAAAACCACGAACTCAGCTATTCCCCAGAAGAAATCTGTTATCAAAGATAATCTCCACGGGGACTGACTCCGGCTGTCCAACACTTGTCCTACAGACAAGAATAAAGAAACCTGAGTTAGTGCTACAAATCCCTGACACAAGATGCATTACATTTAATCAGTAAGGCAACAATCACCGATTCAGTTTTCAACTTGCTAATTGTTCCATATAGTCAACAAAAAGAGGTCTGTTATGTGCACACCATTCTAAGGAAGGGTTCAGGGAAGTAAAGCTCTGTGATCTAGGGGTCATTCCTTTACTATGTCAAATGCTTTCCTATAGTTTGTAATTTTGGGGGTGATACTTCAAGTATTTCTCTCTCTTGTTTCTTCTACTGCGGTAAAATATACACAAAAAAACTCTACCCTTTCGAAGGGTACAGTTTTATAGCATCAAGTATATTCATATTATTGTACAGTCATCACCACCATCCATCTCCAGGACTTTTTCATCATTCCCAGCTGAAACTCTGTACCCCTTAAACACTAACCTCCTATTTCTCCCTTCCCCCACCCCCTTGAGAACCACCGTTCTACTTTACTTTCTGTCTCTGTGAATTTGATTGCTCTAGAAACCTCATGAAGGCTCACATAATATTTGTACTTTGGTGAACAGCTATTTCACTTAGCATAATGTTGTAGCACGTGTCAAAATGTCCTGCTTTTTTCAAGGCTGATTAACATTCCATTGTATGTGTATACTACATTTTGTGGATCCATTTACCTGTTGATGGAAACCTGGGTTACTATTGTGAAAATGCTATGAACATGGGTGTACAAATATCTGTTTATTCAAGTGTTTTGAGGAAACAGGTAAATATGAAAGAATGCTCACATCACTTTAATTTTTCTAAATGTGTTCAAGGTACTTCTTTTCATTTGCAAATCCTCTTGCCTGCACAAAAAGACTGTTTATACATACTCTTACAGGTCTTTAGAATCAGTCATTAGGATAAAATTTTTAGAAATCAAAGAATCTGTGTGCTCTAAGTACTGAAGAGAAATTGGCTTATTCATTAAAATGACTATTTTTCTGTAAAGGGCTGTTCATTCTAATTATAGCCTTCAGCTTTGTCTTAAGCAAGAAAAAGATCTATTTTTCAAACCACTTTAAATGATAAAAGCTACAACCTGAAAAGTTAGTACTCTAGAGTTTCAGCCTTGCAAATCAAGAGGTCAGGATATTTTGGAAGAAGAGCTGTCTGTGAACTACCTCTCATTTCCAGTTCCCCAAGGACTTTTACAAGCTTTTTACTTTTCCTCTTTCCTTTATCAGTTTACTTTCAGGTATATCTAACACACAGAACTATTGAGACAAAAAGGCTACACTTAAAGACAGACCAAGGGTGACAGTTTCTGCCTCTTACTAGCTCTGCTTCGTTGGCTGATGCGACATTTTTCTTCTCTGAGAAAAAGTATTCCAGAGTTAATCATATAGAATTGTTTGGGGAAACGTAACTTGACGGTAAGATAAATGTTCTGTCAACTATGAAGTGCTGATAAATACAGTCCTCCTAAGAAAACAGATCTAATTGGAACCCATCAATTCTTTCGGTGTGACTCTGAAGAACCAATTGCAGGCTCTTGCATCAGTCTGGTGTTTTGCACTTTCCCTTAGTTTCTGAAGGCAGAAACCTCTCCTCCCAACATCCTTAGAGGGAAATAAGTTGCTTGAGTGCAAACTGGTATTTCTCAACTAGAAACGTGAAATAAAAGGCCCTTCTGTTATCTAAGTGGATCAAATACGATTATACGCACACAATAATACACTACAAATACAAAATATCACTCAATAATGCACAAGTAGAAGCTGCCAGCCTTACCGACAAAGGATAAAACACAAAGTTCCCGAGTGCCAAAACAAAGATAAAACTTTGGTTTTTGTGTGTCCATCCACCTTCCTGTTTCCAAGGGTTTGAAGCGGGAGGCAGAGAGTGAGATTTTGAAGAGCAAAGGAATGCAAAATGCACTGTCTTAATAATTATTTCTAAAGATAAACAGATGATTCAAATAGAATCAGCACCTAGTTCCAGTCTCCCACGAACTACTGAAGGCTGCACCAAGGCATTCATTTCACCTGAATCAAACAGGTGGCCGCAGTGCTGGCCCTGTTCTGACCCAGTCTTACTGCCTTTCCTTCCCCTGTCATTTTCTTTGTGTCGTCACCGAATTTAAGTCTCTCTGGGATTCTCTATTCCGGGAATAATTAACTTGCTCTACCTCATGTATGACTAGCTACCCTCTCCTGGGGGGGAAGCCCACCCGAAACTTTCATCATTCTCTGGGATCAAAGCTACAGAAAGTCCACACACTAGGCAACAGCAAGGACGCTGACGTCAGCCAACCTCGACGGGAATCCGGGCGGAGCCATTAACTACCATTGTCATCCTGGACAATCTACTTCATCTATCTGTGCCTCAACGTGACGTTGGGAAAATAAAATGTTATCTTTAGAGGGCTGCCATAAAAGCTGTCAGAAATGATAAGCGAATGACGCTGAAACAGCGCCTGAGGCATAAGCGCTACGCAGACGGTGTTCATGTTATTTACTAGTTAAGGACACAGACGCCCGAGACTAAAGTCCACTTTCCCGGACCCACAACCAGAAGCTCGACGAGGAAGCCAGGCACCCGCCGGGTCGGCCGCGGGGGCCTGGGCCGTCGCCCACCAGCTCAGGGCCGGTCGGCG